TTTTAGTACAATATTACCATAAAATATAGGATGTGAAATACCGTTTTATTAAGTTTTCTACAGGAAAAGCCAAATTTACTAATCAAATTTTTGTATCTATGAAAGAATTTAGTAAATGTTATAAGTAATTTATGGCAACGAAATACCCGAATTAATAATTTACCAGTGATGCATCGAGTTCGTTCGTTGAAATCTATGACATCAAAACACACACGGGCATAACGAACGAGTTGGGATATATAAACACCGTATGATGGACCCTAAGGGACATCTCTGATTAAAAAAGGAAAATTAACAACAGGGAATGAAAATCATCTCAATTTTAGCATGGAGTTTCCCTTTAGAAATTGAAATGTCTAAATCTAGAAAAGGAAAACTACTGCTGTTCATGTTAAGATTTATTTAAAGTAAAATCCTTTGGGTAAATTTTGGAAGTATATTTAGAGAACGGTTGGTATTGTTGAATGTGTCAACCAAATGTAACAATGACGTGTCTTTACTGAGTTTGGCCATAAACTGTGACTCATAGCAATACAGGAATAAATCTGCTATTAAAGAGGCACAGTTAGTGCCAATAGGAGTACCTACTACCTGTCGATACACTTTATCGCCGAAACGTACATATATGTTGTCGAGGAGAAAATTTAAGCTCCAATTATTGTATATTTCGTGCGTTAGAAAGAGTGCTTTTCTATATTTATCGGGAACGCTCAAACTTAGATATTTGAAAACCAAGTATGTAGTAATACGTAGAAGCTTTGGGATCCTTATGACCAAATCGTACCTAAGATTATAGTCATTTACTTCTTAGGTCAGCTTTCCCTGATGGAATTGTATACCTATTTCTTTATTGACATTTTAAGAATCGCAATCGTGTATACTATTGACGAAAACTGATATGAAATACAGATTTTGCTAACTTCAAAAGCAGTTAAAAAATAATCTATTTTTCTTCAAGAAAATACAAATCAAGGTAAAAACCAAAAACAAAGGCAATCGCGATTACTTCAAAAGCAGCAAGATCGGGTGTATCGACATAGAAAGCGTCTCCTGCAATGCATGTACCACCCGCCGTGCAAATCTAAGACAGTCAAAAATATCATAATCAGGAACAGGACATTATAGGGAATATACAGATTGTACAACTTTTCTGGTATCTAAAGATGTTGATTGTACGTTGAGACTCATATATATTTAAACCGTAAACAAATTCGTAATGGTGATGTAAAATCTGTTTTTAAACACATTTTATTGCATAAACAAGGTAAACAACGTAACATTACCTAATCCAAATAACTATGTAACATACAAAGTCGAGATGACAGCAAATATATATTTAAGTATAATAACAAAAATGTAAGCAGTAACGTTTTTTCCTTTTAAACAATAACAGTTTGATACGAGTACATTTTAATATCTTAACAACACTAAATCCGTCTGTTCCAAAACATATATTCTATGGAAATAAGTAATACGAGTTGGATATTTTCTAAAAAAAATGCATCCTAGAATTCAATAAAGTTAACATTCTAAAAAAATGGATCGAATCTTTTAATGAATACCCACAAGCACAACTTTGGTCATTTACCCAAATATTTCAATATGAATCAACTCTTAGGGCACGATATCTTTGTCGTATCTTTTGTCTGCTTTTTTCCAGCAAGGAAATATTTAGGTTCCCAAAAGAAAAAGTCTTCAGACAGTACTTTTGTAAATTTGGAGATGACTGAATTTATTTAATATCTAACATCAGTTAATTAAAGCACGAGTTGAAGAAGGTAATTTTTTAAAGAAAATATTTCCAGTTGATATCTCTATAGTGAGAGTGGTTTGTAGTGTAATATGATTGTTACATTGTCTCTGCATAATACTTTTGTCATGGAAAAACATATTATTATGTATATATGAAATAATAATAATTTATGACTAATTATTTTAGAACTCAGTTTTTCAACCACACCAGATAGTGTCTTAATTTGACAAGATGTTCAACAAAATTCGTACACGTAAATATTTTTCCTCTGTTTATTTGCAATTAAAATCGCCTCAAGCTCAATAGATAATAAGCTGTATCCTCTAGTGTCTTTAGATGAGCTTTATGTTTACGCAAACTTGTATACGCGTTATTAATGCATCAATGCAATGATCTATGCTTGACATTTTGCCTTGCGGTCATAAAACTTAGCACGATTATCGTACTCAGACTCAGAAATCAACCAATAACATTATTGGATTTGGAGTTTTGAGCACAAAACTCCCGAGTATTGAGTAAAGTTTTATGACGGAGGTGCATGAGATTTTAGATATGTTTTCGACTCAGTCTCCTAAATAATCGCACTAATACAGGCAATGCTTGATATTTTCTTTTCCGGATAATCTAAGTTGCTGTGTTCAATTTTCCGTCCCAAATCTACTATTCAGTACGTTATATATCTATTTATAATATATCTCCTTAATCGGACCAATATCAGATAAAACACATTGCGTATTACCACTTAGACTTGCCGCAATAAACAGTCTTTTCTGATTATCCTTCCAATTATTAAACTTGAATATCAGTTCAAACTGAATTTCCTAATTTTCCTAAGAAACAGAAGCATATCTACTCGTTCGAACAACTGGATTTTCAATTTCAATTCGGTTAGGTGAAAACGATCCCTGATTACTAGAAGGTTTGAACCCTAACGGAATCGATGCTCTTTGTAGTGTTGGAGCACTTGAAATTTCTTCCTGAATGGTTTTGTACTATTTAGTTAAATGCTGAATTTCTATTTGCATTTCAATCATTCTAGGCGTTGGACCTGATAACACAGTTGAACTTAATCCTTTCCCCATATCCATTAATAATTTTGGTTGAGCAAATCCAAAACAAATTTTTCTATCAGACGATTCACGTTTATGCATTTTGAAAGACAAGCTATTCCAATTTCCCTTATAAATGCACAAATATTTCATTCCATTTGTAACTATCCTTTCGTATAACATTATCTAAATATTACTATAAATCCAAAAAATATATTTTGTGAAAATAAACTGTTAAATTCCAAATTCAATTATTAAAGACCGCACCTAATATATCAGAATAAAACAGCCTATACTAATCCATATGATGTAAATAAATTCAACACTGCTGTTCCCAAAAATTGTGAGGGGACGACAACGACAAAGACAGACAGACATAACCATACTATGACACGAAAATCTATCCTGTGGTAAATTCCATTAAATAAATAATACAGTATATATTTACAAGTTTATTTACGATTGTACATTACTTACGACTTATTGACAAACTTAGCTTACAAAGTTTAACCATTATATAAACTTAAAAAACCAAGTCCTCCAGAATCTCTACTGATTCAAGACCTCAAGGAAAAATCACATCTATACAGTATCACAGCTGATACAAAATCTGCATGTTTATCTTGACAAACTGACCTTGATGAGAAAGTTTAAATATTTTCACGCCAGACAAAATACAGAGGAAAAACTAAAAAACACGTCCTACTATCGTAATAAGTATGACAGTAGACAACAAATTATGAATAATGATGATGTCGGTATTAGAGATAATTTTCCAATTTGTCCTTTATTTCAGAATGAAGAGTAGAGAAGTTTAATGTTCTTTATACAAAAAAACGTATGTTGTATGTATTTTAGCAGATTTGTGGTCTCCACGTCTTATTTACTATAATTATGTCTGTTTGGGTTACTCATCTAATTTTGTCAATATAACGGAACTATAAACAACTGTCATACAAGTTGGAGGTTTAGCTTGCTATGAAACCAGGTTTAACCAACCAAATCCTTCTGGAAATGCCTGCACCAGGTCAGGAATATGGTAGTTGTTTTTCACTTGTTCCGTTAATTGATAGGTTTGATTTTGTCAGTTTTTAAGGACTTCCCCTTTTTAAATTTGCATTGGAGTTTGGTATTTTTGGTATAATGTTTTCATGCTCAATGTAGGTAGTTTCACAGTAGCTCTGAAACTCGGCTTTGCTCAAAGAGATGTTAATAATTTAGAGAGATGTTTTGTGAAGCAATTGGCACACCAGCAATTTAATACAGTAATGAAAGTTTTCTTGAAGAAATAATACATCTAGTAAGTGTCGTTGGAATAAATTTTCAGTTTTCAAGTGAATTGTCAATACTTAATTCCTGAATGAAGCAGTTTATGTAATGTGATGCGATTAGGACACGTGTTTATGCTCCTGATAAAACAATAGCAAAGCCTAAGATTTGCTTAGGAAGCCACCAAAACATGAAAATAAAAAAGAAATTAAAAGATACGCTGTGCACAATGGCATTTTATGATTAAGATACCAATGAAGTTTCGATAAATTGTAATAGGTGTTTAAGAGGAGTTCCAGGTAAGGCAATACATAGTCCATCACAATGTATCAATAAATTATGGTAAAGGCGGGTAAAGTTAAATTTTATGAAGCTTTAAACATAATTTATTACAAAATGAAAACAAAAAACGAGTATATGTATACAAATTTCAATAATATAATACATAATGAAATCCTAAACATACTGTGATCAATATATACCAACAGGTGTGTCAAAGTCTATGCTTTGAAATAAAAGACTTAAAACTTATTAAGATGAATAAGATAACACGGAAAATATAATATGCTATTAGTAACTAGCTTTCTTCCGAATGTGTCATTAACATTAGGTGTCTGTGAAGAGTTTCTGATATAAAGTTTCAACTCGCTCAGGAGAAGTTGACCATGGACAATTTTGATCTTGGTTGGTCATATAGCAAATGTATTGCTCATAACATTGCATTATATGTATGTACCCTGTCTTTCGTGAGCGTTCCTGATGAAGGTTAATACAGAAAAAACTCAGGTAGCATGCTATTCTTAAAGTGTTTATTTCAGTGAATGTACACAGGACAATCGACGATTTATACGAATAAGCAAACACAATTATCACTTTACACGCTAACCTCACCGGTTGAGATAAATATTAAATATTCGCTACATACTTACGCCTAAATACTATTACCGATCCAATAATCAGTATGACAAACAAAACTGCAGAAAGGCCAACAATCAGCAACTTATGCTTACTCTTGGATACATTATCATCGCCTTCAATAAAGTTAATATTATATTTAAATATATAGTTTACATGCTTCTCTTTCATCAAAAGACGTGGATCTTCAAAGAAATAAAGAATAACTGCACATTTAAAAACGGAAGACATCATCATACAAACAGGGGAGGTGGGTGAATGCTCGATGGCCTAGTGGTCTGAGTAATCGAACTACTTTATCACTAGCCTATCAACACTGAGCTCGACCTCAATCGTAATTGAATCGGATTGACAGTTTTCCTACCGAAGGTCGGTGGTTCTCTGCAGGCACTATGGCTTCATCCACTAATAAAAACTGACTTATACGAAATAGCATAATGAAACCGGTTTCATAAATCAATCAATCAATCAATTATCAAACGAACAAAAACTGCATATCTTTATAGACTAGTTTGGCAAGTGGTTTAAGTCTATGAACACAGTACAAGCGGTGTACGCGTTAAATTCACAAGGAGTTTCAATCCATTTCCGCCACTGAACTTTAGGGAAACAACAATCAATCAAATCGAACGATATAATTTTTCAAAGAAAAAAAGCCGTCCGACATTGTTGGACTGACTTCAAAACGAAAATATTTATAAGATAAACAGTCCTGTATCGTCATTTGGTCGCACGGAGCATTTCGGTAAATTTTACTTCAATTGTGTGCCATCGAATTGATATATTGGTGAATTCTAACGGACGAAAACTGAACTTCTCTCGCAAAATTTTTCGAAACGAAAGCAAATGCATCAGAAAAATTGAATATTACATACAATCACAAAACGTTTGAACAAGGGAAACGTTAGACAATATATTTTAAATGTCTGACTATACATATGTATATCGTATGAAAGTCTCTCATTATTTTAATAAATCAAAGTCTTTATATACGACTTTCATCTGCTTTACGTCTTATCTAAACTAGATAACATTGAAAGTAAATCATTAAAAAACCTTTCCAAAAAACAACTTGCAATTTCTTTTTGGCAACATCATTTACTTTACACATATCATTAAAGTTAATTTTATTCATTCAAATGAATCATAGTCAAAAAAAAAACACACATCATCCATGCAAGTTAATATTTTATTGCATACTATGCGTTATTGGTTGAAGGCCGTACGATTACCTATACTCTATATGTAGTTGCTAACTTTACGTCATTTGGATTCTGGTGGAATGTTCTTTGGCAATCATTCCTAGTCTTTTTATATTTATAATGTCTATAATTAGTGGTTTCATTGGTATTATAATAGCTTCCATAATTTTTATTTTTTCAACAAAGCCGAGTTATTTTGAAATTTATCACAAAAAAAAACCAAAAACATAACAACACTCAAACATCATGTGGTTAAATTAGCAAGAGGCTTTCAAGAGCCTGAATCGCTCACCTGTAATTTTTTGCTTAAATTTTTCATCAATGATTATTTTTGCTTTTCAATGTATATACTGTTTACAGTTTATCTTTATCTATAATATTATTCAAGTAATAACCGAAAACTGCAAAATTTCCTTAAAATCATCAATTCAGGGGCAATAACTTAAAAATCAGATACCCGATTTGGCTGATAATTTTGACCTACTGAAAACTTTAACGTCTTGTCTGATTTGCTCTAAATGCTTTAATTTTTGAGATATAAGTCAAAAACTGCATTTTTACCATATGTTCTATTTTTAGCCATGTCGGCCATGTTTGTTGATGGATCAAAACTTCGGATACAATGTGTAAACAAGATACCTTAAGGAACATTCAGTTTAAGTTTAGAAGTATTAGGCCCAGTAGTTTCAGAGGAGAAGATTTTTAACTGTTAGCAAATATGATGAACAAATTGTGTAAAATTGTCTTTAAAGGGCAATAACTCCTTAAGGGGTCAATTGATAATTTTGATCATATTAACTTTTGGTCATATTAACTTCTTTTTTGTAGATTTGACTTTGCTGAACATTATTGGTGCTTACAGTTTATCTCTATCTATAATAATATTCAAGATAATAACCAAAAACCTGCATAATTTCAATAAAATTACCAATTTAGTGGCAGCAACCCAGTAATGGGTTGTTCGATTCGTCTGAAAATTTCAGGGCTGATAGATCTTGACCTATTGAACATTTCTACTACTGTCAGATTTGCTCTAAATGCTTTAGTTTTTGAGATATAAGCCAAAAACTACATTTGACCCCTATGTTCTATTTCTAGCCATTGCGTCCATATTTATTGATGGATCAAAACGTCGGATACAATTTATAAACTAGATACCCTAAGGAACATTCAGTTAAAGTTTGAAGGTATTTGGCCCAGTAGTTTCAGAGGAGAAGATTCTTGAAATAGTTTACGACGACAGACTACGACAGACGACGACGACAGACGACGGACGACGACGGACGCCAAGTGATGGCATAAGCTCACATGGGTCCCTTTTGTCCCGGTGAGCTAAAAAAAGAAAAAGTTAATGAACACTAAACACCCGTTTAAATGTTTCAACACTGAGCTAATTGTAACTGGCACAATGTCCCTATATACAAATATGACATATACATTATCCACAACAATGTACAACAAAGCCTTTTTCATACCTGAATAAATAAAAACTATATAATGCCATTAAATAGTTAACCACAACACCGTAAAACAATTACTATGCGTTATTGGTTTAAGGCCGTACGATTACCTATACTCTATATGTAGTTGCTAACTTTACGTCATTTGGATTCTGGTGGAATGTTCTTTGGCAATCATTCCTAGTCTTTTTATATTTATAATGTCTATAATTAGTGGTTTCATTGGTATTATAATAGCTTCCATAATTTTTATTTTTTCAACAAAGCCGAGTCATTTTGAAATTTATCACCAAAAAAAAAACAAAAAAACATAACAACACTCAAACACCATGTGGTGTAATAAGCAAGAGGCTCTCAAGAGCCTGAATCGCTCACCTGTAATTTTTTGCTTAAATTTTTCATCAATGATTATTTTTGCTTTTCAATGTATATACTGTTTACAGTTTATCTTTATCTATTATACTATTCAAAATAATAACCGAAAATTGCAAAATTTCCTTAAAATCATCAATTCAGGGGCAATAACTTAAAAATCAGATACCCGATTTGGCTGATAATTTTGACCTACTGAAAACTTTAACGTCTTGTCTGATTTGCTCTAAATGCTATAATTTTTGAGATACAAGTCAAAAACTGCATTTTTACCATATGTTCTATTTTTAGCCATGGCGGCCATGTTTTCTGAGGAAATAGAAAATAAACACAACCTTTATTCTAGATAACCTAAGAATCATTTATCTTAAGTTTGATTTAATTTGCTTCAGGTAGTTTCAGATGAGAAGATTTTTTAAAGTTAGAAAACATGAAAAACAAATTGTGTAAGATTGTCCTTAAAGGGCAATTACTCCTTAAGGGGTCAATTGACAATTTTGGTCATTTAATTTTTTTGTAGATCTTATTTCACTGAACATTTTTGCTGTTTACATTTTATCTTTATCATCAATAATATTCAAGATAATAACAAAAAACTGCAAAATTTCCTTAAAATTACCAATTTAGTGGCAGCAACACAACAATTGGTTGTTCCGTTCGTCTGAAAATTTCAGGGCTGATAGATCTTAGCCTATTTAACATTTTTACTTCATGTCAGATTTGCTCTAAATGCTTTACTTTTTGAGATATAAGCCAAAAACTGCATTTGACCCCTATGTTCTATTTTTAGCCATGTCGGCCATGTTTGTTGATGGATCAAAACTTCGAATACAATGTGTAAACTAGATACCTTAAGGAACATTCAGTTTAAGTTTAGAAGTATTAGGCCCAGTGGTTTCAGAGGAGAAGATTTTTAACTGTTAGCAAATATGATGAACAAATTGTGTAAAATTGTCTTTAAAGGGCAATAACTCCTTAAGGGGTCAATTGATAATTTTGATCATATTAACTTTGGTCATATTAACTTCTTTTTTGTAGATCTGACTTTGCTGAACATTATTGGTGCTTACAGTTTATCTCTATCTATAATAATATTCAAGATAATAACCAAAAACCTGCATAATTTCAATAAAATTGCCAATTTAGTGGCAGCAACCCAGTAATGGGTTGTTCGATTCGTCTGAAAATTTCAGGGCTGATAGATCTTGACCTATTGAACATTTCTACTACTGTCAGATTTGCTCTAAATGCTTTAGTTTTTGAGATATAAGCCAAAAACTACATTTGACCCCTATGTTCTATTTCTAGCCATTGCGTCCATGTTTATTGATGGATCAAGACTTCGGATACAATTTATAAACTAGATACCCTAAGGGACATTCAGTTAACGTTTGAAGGTATTTGGCTCAGTAGTTTCAGAGGAGAAGATTCTTGAAATAGTTTACGACGACAGACTACGACAGACTACGACAGACGACGACGACGACGACAGACGACGGACGACGACGGACGCCAAGTGATGGCATAAGCTCACATGGGGCCCTTTGGTCCCGGTGAACTAAAAAAAGAAAAAGTTAATAAACACTAAACACCCGTTTAAATGTTTCAATACTGAGCTAATTGTAACTGGCACAATGTCCCTATATACAAATATGACATATACATTATCCACAACAATGTACAACAAAGCCTTTTTCATACCTGAATAAATAAAAACTATATAATGCCATTAAATAGTTAACCACGACACCGTAAAACAAAAAAAATAAAACTGAATTTCATATTCTCAGTAGTAAGGTTTCTATTTCGCATGCCTATTTTTTGTTTGGTTATTTTACCTTTGACTGAATCAATATCGTAATGAGCAATATGGAAGTTCTGTGTTCCAATTTCACATGTGACATTAGTGACTGCCAATGTCTTACGCCTGAAGTTTATTGTACCGGTTATTCTAAGTTTATGCAGTTCTATTCCCCCAGCATTATATTTGCCGAGTAAAGTTGTGTTCAGAATTACATTACCATCCTGTAAATAGATAGCCAGACAAAGATAATCCATTGATATCAAAATACAAG